TTTGTAAAAAGCTGCTGAAACATAGGGGGGGGGGGGGGGGGGGGGGGGAGGAACTCCCTCAAAGTACATGAATATTTTCTGCTTGTTGGACCATGTGTGAATGAGATCATAAAATGAGATTCTAGCTAGTATCATGAAGCTTTCTTTGATTTCCTCTCACGTGGATGCTGATGCAAAAACTGAATTTGTACTGATGGACCTACTAAAGAAAACATACATCAGGACAATTATCCCTAACCTGATGCTCTCCAGATGTGTTAGAGCACAGTCCCATCATCTGCTAGCCAGTGTTGCCCTTTGTAATCCACACATCTGGAAAGCATCAAGGGAAGGCCGAGGTGGTATTATCATTATTATGATGATTTGCTTGAATATAACATCAGTGGATTTATTCATTTGATCTGTCCTACTTTTCCACAACATTTCAAAGTGGCTAGCAATCAATCAGACACAGGATACAAAATTAAATGTTGAAAAAACGTAAATTAAAACCCAAGGGAAAATCAGTTCAAAATGTAATTGAATATTAGTGGGCCTCACTTGGGGTTGAACTTGACAATAGGATGGATGGAAATCTGGGTTTGGATTTCTTTCCATTTTGGTGACTAGGAGACATAGGAAGGATTGATCATATGCTGTTGGGGACGGGGATTGGTCTTTCTTTTCTAATTGTATGCCTGCTGAAAATACTCTCCTAGCTGCTCATAAGACTGCACAGACCAGATCAAGTTTTGCTTCTCCAAAGATGGGGAGAAACTCTAGCTTAGTGGTAGAGCTCCTGCTTTACATGCAGAGATCCCAGGATCAGTCCCAGGATCAGTCCCTTTACATGCAGAAGATCTCAGGATACCTAGGACTGTGGAAAGCAAAACCCAGATTTAGAATGAATGGAGGAAGATGTTTGGTTTCTTGGAGTTAGGATGGTAAAGACTACAGATGCTATGTTGGGCTCCTTGGAAGAAAAGTAGAATAGAAATGAACTAGACAAGTGTATTTCTCTTTGTACAATGCTTTAGGGCAGGGGCAGGCAACTTGATGCCCTCCAGAGGTTATCAACTACTTCAAAATAGCTGGAGGGCCTCAGGTTTCCTGTCCTTGTTTCAGTAAGCATGTTTCTCTGTCCACATTGTGCCTCCTGCATGTTCCATTTTTAGCATGGTTCACGTTGATTCTGCAACGTCTTCAGTAAATCCACGTCACAGATGAGTCTGTGATGTGATCACAAGTGATGTGAGATTGCCAGCTGGCCAGTAATTACTCGAGCACTGCTGCAACATTTTTCACAACTCAACATTGCCTCCTAATCATGCTGGTGTTAAATGGACAGGATCATGGTCAAGGCACAAGGTTAGCAATGCTAGGACTCCCTTTGATAGACCACCTAGAAAGAAAATACCCAAATAAGAGGCAAAAGAAATGAGTAGAATGGGCATTTATGGAGCAGAAGGGCTAAATACTTGTTAAAACAGATCTTGAACTAGAACTGCAGGTGTTACCTCAGAAACGAGGCATGGCTTATATTTATTCATGTCATTGCGATCTGAGATGCATACATCAGCAGGTAAATCTTTTAAAATTGGGAAAATAAGAATTAACAGTGCTAAGCGAGAATCATTCTGGTTAGTGAAGATGAAGGAGGAAACTGATTCATACCCAAAAGAAGGCAAATAGAAGAGGAATGACTGCCAGAATAAAATGGGGAAAATATATGAAAACAGTGCAAAATGGACCTTTATGTATAAATCTTTCCAGGGTCATATTCAAGTGTTGTTTCTTCTGTTGAGAATATAATACATGATGTGAAGTCAATACTGTAACTACACAGAAATAAAAGAATGATTTGCTTTCTTGCACAAGTATATGTATGTGCCTCAGCAAGGATTTATGCCTGTGCAAAGCCTGCTATTAAGTTATGTTACCTGATGTAACCAATCTATTTGCATTGGTAATGCACTTAGTTTGCTTGCAAACCCAGGTTTCATTTACAACACCCTTTCGTCTTTGTTTTCTACTTTGGATTTATTTTTTTCCTGAAAGGAAAGCCCTGACAATCCTCAACTTGCATCAACTGGCTAAAAAGAAGAGGCAACCTGAAAAGATATGGCCTTCTTGATCGTGTGCTTAATGAAACCAGAACATGACAAAGAAGACAATTGGAAACAGAAACCTTACTGGCCATTTCCTTGAGTGATAATAGAAGAACCCTGTGCTGTGAGAATTGCCTTCATCTGATTCATCTTCTCCTGGTTACACCAGCCATATCTTATCTGCTATATCCATATATCCTTCCTTGACTCTTGCTTCACCTTCTCCTACGTCACTAAGGTGGAGACTGGAGAAAAAGCTGCCTTGCAGTTCTAGACAGACAAGGTATCAGGCAAACCTGATGAGACAAGTGATGGTGGGAGATGCAAGCTAGGGATGGTGATGCAGCTGATACTGAGCTGTTTTTCAAAGACTCCAACCAGATTATTATTTTCTTCTTCTTCTTCCTGCTACTTAGCCATCCTGGCTCTAGGACAGCCTTTCTGAAGGACCTCCATGGACACGAGTCAAGCCATCTTCCTAGTCCCAGTTTAGCCAGTATTTTGGATTGTTATTTTATTGATATATGTAATGATTATTTATTGATTTTAGAGCTTGATTACTGATTTTGTAATTTCGTGATCTGCTTTGTAAGAGTTTCACTCCTGTGGGACAAGCAGCTCCAAAGCCAGTCTGCTTATTGAACATTGGAGTCAGTTGTCCCAAGAACCAAGAAGTAAGAGCTTCTATTTCCTAGAGGAGAAATATCATCCATTGTTCATTTGCTGAGGACAATGTATTAAATTTGCCCTGCTTTTGATCATTCATCTCCAGAAGTTGAGAACGCAACACACGCACGCACACACACATTATTAACAGCTATCCCAGGCTTCAAAATGTCATACAAATCCTCTCTATTTTATTCTCAGGCTGCCTAACTAGCTATTCTGCTGGATAAGAGGACTGCTTATCCAGGGCCTCATGCCTGGAAGGAGATTTAAAACTTAGCTTTCAAGTGCTACCCTCTACATCACACTTTATTCTCCAGTTCTTGATTGAATTTTTGGTACTTCCAACCCGCAAATGAGGATAATGAACAGGCCAAGCCAGATACATAACTTGGAGTTATTTAGGGACAAGTCTTTCCGGGGTTATAGGGAATAAATATTGGGAATCTGGATTTCTGTTGGATCCTGCTTTAAGAAATCTGTCCACGGTGCTGGTCTTCTGGCCTTGGAATAGGCAACCCGCAAGCTGCGGGCCTTTTTTGTAGCTTCTGGATCCCCCCTCCCCCTCCCAGGTTCCTTTGCTAATGTTTTCATTTTGTCTTTTTAAAAAAGGTAGTAAAATAGATGAAGACTCCTAAAATTACAACCCCATTTTATTTAAAAAATAAATAATAACCTTCTTATTTAAAATAATATCCTCAAATGACAAATGTTCTCCCTGAGATATCTGTACGGTTTCCACCTGGATGTTGTTTAGGAAGTCCTTGAAAACCTGGCTGTTTCCCAGGCAATGGGCCAGGATGGGTGTTGACCCCCTTATAGGATTTTATCTGTTCAGTAGGAATGTTTGTCTGGTTATACATTGGGTTTTTTTCTTGTTTTTCTTGTTTCTTACTATTTTTAATATTGTACATCACCCAGTCTTTTGGAGTTGCGTGGCCTTCTAAATTACTTCCTTAATTAATTCAAGATAAGGGTCTTAAAATACCAGTTCTGCAGTGAGTTTTACCATGTGTTTTGCAGCCTCCGTGGCTGATTTTTTTTTTCACGGGTACCCCTTGTCTGTAAGCATTCTCCATGACCTGAGCTGGACTCAAAGGAAACTTCCTTTTTATCCCTTTCTAGATCATGGGTGGACAACCTGCCTTCCACATGTTGAACTCCAAATCCTCTCTGTAATGGAAAACAACCCATTGCCCAATCCCGGTCCTTGGACCCTGACTTAGAAAGAGGTTCCAGAACTTCTTATTGCAATTTTTTACTACTAAGTACAAACACCCCAACTGCTAATATTCACACATAGAGGACCATTTGGACATAGAAGACCCTAGGTGAAACCCCTGGAATCTCTCACTGAATGGGATCAGGTAGAAGGACCAAATGATTAGATCAAAATTAACCAAAAAGAGCGCTGTCAGTTACACAAGAGTCAGTGGTCCCTTTCCC